AGGAAGAGAAGGCAAGGGTTTTTATCATGCAAATCAACTCTTGCAGATGGGGCTGATGATGGCGAGGGCCCTGGCCACAGATGACCTCACAGGTGTTGACCAGAACATTACAGACTGGTTGACTGAGACGACGTTTCTGGGAGCGGCTGGAAACGGCGATCGGATCAGGTGTTGAATCCGGGTTAGGGATCATGGGCTTTTAGCATGAGTGACACTGTTCAGGGCCTGCGATTTTCTCTTTAACGGTTCCCTCCTTTTGTTTACCTCGGCTTGACTGAGAGATGAGGTCAAAAATGAAGGCATCAGTGCCCCAGCTTCCCTCTGCAACTCAGTTGATCCTTGGTTTTGCTTCATCTCTGTGACCTTCACCTTCACAGTTCCAGGTTCATAATAACCCTAAAGTCCGCCGTTCTCTCCAGTTTCCTTTTGATGTTCTTAGGAAGATCATTTGCTTGGCAGTTAACAGCTGCAAAACATGAATGTAAAGCTTTTGAGACACTACGACACCAGGGAGATTATAATCACTATAGGCAGGACAATTCCCAATGTTTCAAGTGTATTTTGGGTCCCGAGACTGAAACCAATCAAAGAAAGACCCTGTTGAAAGAGTGACCCTTTAAGCCAAACGTCTTGCTCCGTGATCTTTCACGTAACCGAGTTTTGACTTCTCCAGAAGCACGGATCCAGGGACAGCAAGTGGTGTTGGCCACAGCGCAGACACCTCCTTGGTCAGCTAAAAGGGAATCGAGGGCTATTCAATGTCTCCAAAAGTTAAGGGAAGGTCACTCCTGTTTCAACTGATTCCTAACCAGGGAAGGAAGGCCCTGCCCAAGTTAGTGAACCCTGGAAAGCGAATCATGGAAAGCCCCCAGTCGGTCCTTTCTGGAACAGTTCTGGGCACAGTCAGATAATCTAGGAGGCACCACCCAGCTGTGTAGCAGCCATCTGGGCATTTGAAATGGTAACCACTACAGACAAGGACAGTTCCTGTCGGGGCACAGAGAAAGCATTTGTGATTCGATAAAGGTTGCTCAAGATTTGTCTAAGCCGAATCTCATGCCATATGAAATTGTCAATGAAAGAGCAGCATAGTCATATTTACACACACGCGCGCACACACACAGACCAAGCCAAGACTTTTTACTCACCTACAGATATGATGGTAAAATTCTTTTACAGCATGTGGAAGATAAGCATAAAAATCAAACTATTTCATTGTCGCATTTCATTTTTAACTCAAATCACGAGAATTTAAAAGATGAGCTTAATGTTAGCAGTCATCTCAAGAGTATGCAAAGAGAAATGCTATTTAGAGACATAAAAACTGAGTTTAAAAAAAAAAAACCAAAAATGTGAGTACAGAACTTAGAGTGAATAATATCACACACAGTAGTGGGAGGCAGCCCAGGAGCCACCGCACTCCATTCCAGTTCCCAGGAAGCCTACAAGTGGGGATCAGGTGTGACCTCTTCCCTGGTTCAAGCACTCAGTGTCATTAACAGGGGCTGTTAACCTCTTCCCACCCGCCTAATGAGCAAACGGAGCTCTAAGAGCCTGGGAGAATGCACGATGGGGGCAGCGGTGGACCCAGTTCTCAGGTAAATGCAAAACGGTTGGCGAGGTAAGCAGCCGAGTCAGACAGGCCCAAGAATCTATGACTCCGGGGTCTGGCTCCCTGTGCAATCTCCTCCCCTGGGTGTGGGCCGGAACTAGTGATTTGCATCTAACAAAGAGAATCCAGCAGAAGCGACAGGTTTCCACTTTCAGGATTAAGTTACTGTGGTACTCTCTCGTTGGCCTTCTTTAATGAAGATAGTTGCCATGTTGTGAGGACGGCTCCATGTAACGTGGAGCAGAGGGCGGCCCTCAGCCAACAGCCACGAGAAACTAAGACCCTTAGCCCAACAGCCTGCGAGGAACCGACTCCTGCCAACGACCCGAGTGAGCTGAGACGTGGATCCACCCCGCCTGATTTTTTTTTTCTATGAATTATTCTATATTTCAGGTTTCTTTTCGTGCAAAAACATTGCACGTATACTGAGTTACGTATACGTATACTGACCACAGACAGGCCTGTGACAGGCCCTGAGCACAGTCAGATAATCTAGGAGACCCAGCTGAGCCATGTCAATTCCTGACCCACCAGAAAGTGTGAGATGACAAATGTGTGTGATTTCAAGCACATAAGTTTTGGGGCTACTTTGTTATATAACGTGATAGAAAACTAACACGCTGGGGCGAACAATAATGTGCTTAAAGAGGCCGGATCGTGCGTTCTTTCCAAAGTAGCATTTGCAAATTACTGATATAGGATCAGCCAGTCGAGTTTTTATCTCAACTTCAAAAAAAGAAAGCCAAACGTTAACACGCAGAACAAGAGCTCAGCGCTCCAGCTCCTCACGAACGAAACGTTCAGAAACGTCCGTAAAGGTTCTGGCCCCGTGGGGTTTTCCGACTCCCTGCACTTGGCGTGGAGTCTGAAAATCACACCACTGGTTCCTCAGATGTGTAAGCCAACCGCGAAGCTTCTAACTGTCCAGATTTTTTATAAAAATTACGGGAAACCAAGTATTACTGGTCCTCTTGACTGAATTTACTTCACCCTAAATTTCTTCATTCGTACAGTTGAAAATCACATTTAAGAATGAGCTCTCCCGAACATAGGAAATGTCCAGAACAGGCAAATCCACAGAGAAAGCAGCAGCTGAGTGGCTGTCGGTGCCGAGCCGGAGAATGCGAGCGGCTGCTAATGGACACGGGAGGTTTTCAGGGGCGATGAAAATGTTCTGGAATGATCATGGTGATAGCTGTACGAACTTGTAAATACACTAAAAAAATCTCTAGTATATGTTCTAAGATGGTGAATTTTATGGTTTCTAAATTAAAAACATTTTAAGCAAGCTCTTAGGACAGAAAGTTAACCTCTCCATGAAGACGTGCCCCAAAGTCACAGTGCATCCCCCAGACACGCACGCAGAATGGCGCCGCCTGCGGGACGTCACCTGCCACCATGGTTCACTTTTTTT